TGGAATTCCTGTTTGTTTTTTTTTTTAAAGAATATGTCTATTTATTCTGTTGTAAAAGTAGAGACTTGAAAGAGGCACAAAGTATGTTTCATTGTGAATTATCAAATCAGTTTTTGGGATTTTCCTGCACATGATTAGAAAAACATGTTGCTGTTTTTGGATTCTGAGCAAAAACAAAGTTGGGACATATATGTCACTCCTTTCCCCTTTGCTGAGTTAGTAAAAATATTATATAATTACATTAATTTTCAATTTAGGGTTCATCTATTTTTGTTTTCTAATTACATTGATTGTTAAAGTTACAGTAACTTGAATGAACTTTTTTTATTTTTCCTACTCTTATTCTCTTATTCATAAGTTTTATAAAGTCCCTAACTTGTTTTATGAAGTGTTCAGATATTATATTCATATTTTATTTGATTATCTTTTAAAGCATAACTGTACTAAGTATGCCTCCAAGGCCATCAACTATAAAAAGGGCTATGTCCATGTTGTGCCCATAACGTACAGTTGAGTTCTATAATATAATTTTTTGACAATGAGATTACCCCTCTGTATACTTGATGTAAAGGACCAAAGTCACCTGCAGTCTGCCATGGCCTTTATCATAATTTTATTGCTCTTTATCACAGTTCTTTTCCTCTGTAAAATCAGAGCTGATGTCACACCACCCTCTATTGTGATGATTGTATGCAATAATTATGTAAAGGCACTTAGCCTCTGAGCTTCCCAATAAATATGACTCCTCTTTTATTACCTTATTTATGTAGTAGAATTGATTAAAACAACTTCTGGCTTCCTTCTACCTAGTGCAAAATGAGAGTAGAAATTACTCTGACTTAATGTGGAAGACTAGAATACTTTTTATGATATTCAGTGCTTCTCTCTGTGGACCCCCTTCTGCAGGGCAGGCTTCGATATCTCTGCAGTGCTCCACTTAGGCACTGCCATCCGACTAGCATTAGCTAAAGAAATGTGAGTGGAAATGATGAGTCACTTCCTAGCAGAGGTCAGTGTTCTTTTTCTCTTTGCTACCAAGACAGACAATGCTTCCTAGAAGCCCCATAGAGAGATCCATCAGCCTCCATCCCAGGGAGAATGCTATCTGAACCTGGAGCTGGGGTAAAGCTAACCCACAGTGAACACAAGTCATGAATGAGAAATAAATATTTGTTGGAAACCTCAAAGATTCTGTGGTTATTTTATGTTGCGTAACTAACCCACATAAAGAATTCTGTGAGGAATAAATAGTAAAGCATACTCCATTACAGTCTATTTGAAATGCCACTGTTCATCTTAAGCTTTCCTCAGCCGTGGACATAGGTCATAGCAGTCCGTTTTGCCTCTCAAGCCTTGTTTGGCCTCCTGACTGGGCACCCTGCCAAACCTGCTCTAAGGCATTGTAAAGTGTTTGAGGGAATGTGCACTCTTTTAAAATCCCCACAGAGAATGTATGCACCAAACAGCTTCTCCAAACCTATCTGTAGAATGTTGGTAGCTATATTTGACACTTCAGTGTAAAGCAAGCATCCTTGGGTCATACTACTGGATACTTCTGGAAGTCAATAGAAACTGAAAATGAGAGAAGTGTACCTAACCTAGAGGCCTACAATTTTGGGACAGGACTATTGTTTCTAGAACCCAGTAAAGTCATCCTGCTTGAATATGACTCTGTCAACAATACCAGGTCCAGATGCTTTTTTAAGGAAGAAAATTTACTTATGATTTTAGCAGTTGTTGAATTGTTCCCTCAATGAGCCACAGTATTAAGAGTATTTAACCTAAGATGTTTGTGGTACCACCATAGAAGTCTTCTGAGAATGTATATAAAGTCTAAATAGATTTTGAGCCTACATTTATGTAAAAAGATGCCCCATTCTGTTGTAACTAGAAATATTATTTTGATACAGAAAGGATCATTCAAAAATATTTATCACATCAGGCCAGGTGCAGTGGCTCATGCCTGTAATCTCAGCATTTTGGAGGCAAGGAAAGAGGATCCCTTGATGCCAGGAGTTCGAAACCAGCGTAGTCAACATAGCAAGACCCATTTCTACAAAAGAAAAATAAAATAAAAAATTAACTGAGTGTCGTGGTGCACAACTGTAGTCCCAGTTTCTTGGGAGGCTGAGTTGGGAAAATTGCTTGAGCCCAGGAGTTTGAGACTCCAGTGAGTCATGATCATGCACTGTATTCTAGCTTGGGTAACAGAGTGAAACCTTGTCTCAAAAAAAGTGTGTGTGTGTGTGTGTGTGTGTGTGTTTGTGTGTATACACACACATACACCCATATATATGTATATATAAATGATGTATGTGTATATAGGTGCATACATATATATTTATTAGTCTGCTAAACTGACTGCTCTTCTTATTTCTAGAGCAAGTGTCATAAAAATGTTCAATATATTGTAGAATTTTACTCATTATTCAGCACAAAAAATTAGGGCACTCTTTTTCTGTTTCTTTTTCCTAAAGCAAGGGTTTCTTCTAAGCACCCACACATCTTAAATATTTCTCCATGTCCTTCAGAGTAGATGAACCTAAGAATACACAGGTAATTTTTACGTAAGAATGTTGTGAGGTGGTATTTACTTAAATAGGTATATCTTATATTCATTTCACAAAGACTGATAAATACTATCCTAACCTGATATATTTTTGAAGATTTCTCCTTCACTATTTCTTCTTTCAGAAATATAGATTGGATTCTGACTCTGTCAGATGCTGTAAACATAGGGCATAGTGAAAGAACAGTTTATATTCTGGGGAATATATACAGCGTTTGTTATTTGTGATAAAATCTCTTGAAAGTTTTACAATTTGGAAAGTCTGATTTAAAGTGATAAAATAGCAAAATGACAGTGAAACAAACATGTATTTGACATTAGGCAGGCCAGAAAAATGTGGTTGCAAAAAATGTGATTGATCTAATTAATTAAAGTCAGTTGTACTAGTTTATAGATATCAAAACCCCAAGCAAATAAAATGCTAAAGCAGCAGCAATGTGAAGAGTAGAATGTAGAATACATTTTTGGATATATTTTAAGAGGGTATTCTCAAATAAAAGAGATATAAACTGTTTGGTCTGTGTTAGTCTTTGCCTTGGATTTGCTGAAAAATGATGTTTTATGGCATTGTCAGTTCTCTCTTATAACAACCTATATCTTTAAAAATGGCTACAGTATTTGGTAAGTCTCAATTTTTTATAGATTATGAAAACAATCTATAAGAAAATTTGCAGTCAACAATTGCTAAACGCTTTCTAGATCATAGTATTAAGAAGAACTTTGAGATGATATTTAGGCTTTTGCAGAAAAAGAGTCCTTATAAATAAATGATATCTACTATGTTGAGACTCATGTGGATGTATTGAGGAAGGTAACAATGTGATAAATATCATGTATTTGACACCATTGTCTCATAACACTTTATAGTTATAATAAGTTAGAATTTGTCACCTTTTCATATTCCCTAAGTCAGATTATCAAGCGATTTCTCCTTTGAATCCTTACTGTTACTTTATTAAATATTGCTAAAATCTCCTTTAGTTTCTGAGATATTGGTGTACCTTCATCTTGGCAGGATTTCAAGCAGTGGTTTTCTATGGAGGCGTAGGAGAGTATATCAAGACCCAAGGATATATTTGAAAGAAATCCCGAAGAACAAATACTGTCTCTTGATAATCTGGCTCAATATTTATTATGGATGTAGGCTGGGATAATGGTGGGAGTTGGGGAAGGTTTAAATACAAGTAATTTTGAATGATACTGTAAAGTTGAAGGAAGTTTAGATTATACAAATTTATGTGAAAACTTACTCCTGAGTAATATACTGAAATATTATATTTTTACCTCAACAATGCCAACATACTTCATGAAGTCAATAGGGTTACAAAATCTATAAGCTGATTTGTATCACATTACTGTGGTAACTGTAGGGATCAGTTCTCATTGGAAAAATCCCAAATATTGCTAATTTTGTTAATATTTTATTTTCACAGCATTTTTTTTGCTACTTTATAATTTTTCACATTCCTTGAAGGGAGGTTGAAGTATGCCAGGCATAATTTATCTTATATTTCAGTTTTGAAATACATTTTACTTACATCTCATATACATATTTCTACTTAATAAACTTTTTATAGAAGTTAATTTACAGCAAGATGTAGGAATCAAAAGTATACAGATTGATAAGTTTTCACTAAGTGAACCCATGTATCCACCACACAGGCCAATAAATAATATATTACAAGCACTCATGAGTCCTTTTCTCAGAGGTAACCAACTATCTGGCTTCAAATAACTTAGATATCTCATTTTGAATTTCATGTAAAAAGAAACAAACAGTGTATGTCTGGCATCTTTTGAACAACATTATATTTATGAAATTCATCCATGCTGTAGTGTTTAGCACTTGTTTATTCTTTCACATCACTTTATAAATTTCCCTGTATGAGGGTTTTAATTTATTTATCCATTTTACTGTTGATGAGCATTTGAGTTGTTTCCACCTTTGGCTATTATCAATAATGATGCTATGAACATTCTTAAATGTGTATTTTAGTGCACATACCAAGGTATTAATTCCATTCACTCTTAGAATATACCTAAAAATGAAATTAGTGTGTTGCAGCGTGTGCATATGTTTAGTTTTAGTAGAAACTGGAATTAGTTCTCCAAAATGGTTGAGCCAATTTATACTTTCAAGAGAAATGTATATGACTTTCAGTTGATCCACATTCGTACCAACAAGATCTATTGTCAATCATTTTAACTTTAGCTCTCTGGTGTTGTATACTAGCATCCCATTGGCTATAGTATGAATATCCTTTCTAAAATTCATGTTGAAATTTAATTGCCAGTATAACAATATTGGGAGGCACAGCCTTTAAGAGATGATTAGCTTATGAATGGATTAATGGGGTTAACTCAGGAGTAAGTTATCACAGAAGTGGGCTCTGGCTAAAGGATGAGCCCCAATTGGCTCTCTGTCTCTCAGGTGTACTTCCCACTATGTGATGCCTTTCGCCATGGATTACCTTTGCCAGATGTGAGTACCATTCTCTTGGACTTTCCAGCTTCCAGAATCATGATCCAAATAAACTTCTGTGCTTTAAAAATTACCACATCTGTGGTATGCTATATAGCAGCAGAACACAGATTAAGAAAACATTGTAGTTCTAACTTGTATTTCTCCAATAATTAATGAGAATAATCACTCTTTCTTAATTGAGTATCCTCCTTTGTGAAGTGCATACTTACTAGTTTTAGATTGAACTGTTTTTATTGTTCTATTAATTTACAGATTTTAAACATTTGTGATAGTTGTTTGTCATTTATACATATTGCATATATTCCCCCTGCTTTGTGGCTTGCTTTTCCATTCTTTTAATGATGTATTTTGATTAAAAGAAGCTCTTAATTTTAATGTAGTTCAAGTTCTATTTCTCTTTTCTTATGGCTAAGGCTATTTGAATGCTTTTCAAGAAATCTTTGTCTATTCAAAATAATTAAAACATTCTATATATTTTTTTGATTCTTTATTTCTTATTGCCTTTTACATTCAGATCCATTATTTGGAAGTGATTTCTGTTTGTGGAATATAATAGAAATCAAGAATCATTTTCTTCTTATATAGATATCTAACTCAATCAATATTGTTTATTAAAAATACTGTTGTTTCTTCATTGTTCTGCAGCGAAAACTTTGTTATAAGTTATATGCTTATATTTGTGAATCTGTTTATGAACTCTTTCATCTGTTCCAGTGATTTGATTATGTATCTTTCATCAACACCATACTATCCTAATGCCCATATTTTAAGGCCTTGGTATCTGCTACTATAAGTCATCTTGATATGTTTGACTGTCATTAATTTCAAGATTCTGGGGTAATGTTATAAAGTCAGAACTTCATAAAATGCTATCTTCATCTTTAAATTTTCATTCTGACACATTTTTGTCTTTCCTATGGAAAAATAGATTGGGAGCCAAAACCTATTTTATAAGGATACTAGGAGAAATGCTCATTTGTATAAACACCATCTAACTACTGCTACTCCTACTGCTGCTGCTGCTGCTGCTGCTGTCCTGATGAAACTAAGCTTTATGAACACTTTGAAAGAAGAATAATTCAAAGAATTTCACAAAGTTTCTAAATGTGTCAATATGTTATTTTCATTCAAATAAAAACTAAAAATATCTGCTGCATACTAGTCCGCATGATTTTTTTTCATTCCTGCTTAATGCATATCCTATGAAAGCACTGAAAATGTGTAAATAGTATGAAGGATTTATTTGTCAGTTTAATAGGTATATTATAACAGCATCTCAAGTTTGTAACCAAAATTTCAACTAGCTATTTTGTCTGATAAAAATGTTGTAGAGAAAAACATAGTTCATTTTGTTCCTACTAGCTGTTTGAGAAAGTTCAGCCCTTGCTGTGCATAGTTTCTCTGTATAACACTTGGTGGAATTGTAATGCTCTCACTGTCACCTCTAAATATCATTACACCTTAGAGAATCTGCAGAGTTATATAACACCGTGATAATCAAAATCACACCTCTTTTATAGCACAGACTCTGAGTTTTGCTGATGCAGAAAATGCAGAATCCTAAGACCTTCAGCTCTCTTACCTAAAGTTTATAGAAAGGCAGGAAGATAAACCAATGGCTGAAAAGAAATTAAGAAAAATCTCTCCTGCAATACAAATGAGAGAAAATGGACAAAAATAAATCAGGCTCCCCCAGCTTCACTTATAGTCCTTTCAACCAACAATATTTTCTTTAGTTCTTGGCCTACTGCCATGAAGAAATTCAGAATTTGAATGCAAATTGATTGTTAAAAAAAAAAGAGACTTAATTTGGAAATGAGCAAGGTAATTAAGAAAGAATAAGAATATTTCTAATCTCTGAGATTTTCAAAGGAGTGAACTAAACCAGATTTTTAGATCATATGGTTGTATATCGTATGATGCTGTGATGAAAAAATATGCAGCAGAAAAATTATTCTTTGTTTCAGGGATAAAATTGTTATGTTTTTCTTAGTTGACATTTCTGTCACACTTGAGTTACTGAAGCAAAAAAAAAAGGCATTCATATCAGAGTTCAGCTATTTAAGAAATTCAATGGTTATCACTTATACAGGTCAATTACAATTTCTAATAATTAAAAACAGAAAGAAAAGTTTCATCGTCTCACATGAGACTGTATAATTTGGTGATTTTTACACATTTCAAAACTGAGACTAGAGGCTCAGTGCAAACAGTACACAGGCCTGGCTGACACATTCAGAATTCCTGTGAACGAAATTGGAGAAGTCACATAGCCTCATCCAGGAGCTGACACCTCACTCCTGAATAAACTTACCTCCTACTACATTTCATAAAACTCACCTGTCATGATTATGTCTGTGTTGCTCAATGTCTGGTCTTATTTCACACTAGAGAATCAAAGAGTACTTGATGAATAATTATTTGCCTATTCGTTTTTTAAATTCCGTTTTCTAGCTTCCACTTTCACTTCCTAAGCCAGGATTTACTCTCATAGTCCTTTTCTAATTATGTAGGTTATCAGGTGCTCTAACAAGGCAGTAGTCAGTGGCAGTTATGCTCCTAGTTTAGGTGAACTCTTAAAAAATACCTCTGAAGTACACAGAACTGTAGTAACTCAACTTAAGGGTAGGAGCTTATGGGGAAATGTCATCAACTAATATTTCTATTTAGAATTGACCATTATTTTATTTATTGTCTTCTGTCTATGTGTATATATGTTTGTATGTATATATTTTATTGCTCATAAAGCAATCAATTATTTCCTCTAACCCCTGTACCTGGCACTGTGGTGCTGGCATGTGGGCTGTTAACATTTGAAGAAGCTCAACATTTGCTCTGGCCATTGGACGGATTATCAAAATTTTCTAAAGAAATCACCCTGTGTTTGTTCTTATTCGTTTGCAAGAAATGTTCTTACATACTTTTGAATCCTTCCTGACCATGCTATTTTGGAAGATAAGTTTAACTTCTTGTGTACTACATTTCTTCGATAATGCTGTTATTTTGTAACCTTCTGCCACTGGCTATTTGTGATTAGTGTTATTTCCGAAGAATCAATATACACTTCACAAAGGGGAATCAATTTTTCAGCACGTATGTGATTGTTAGTTTTATATGATGATTTGACTGAACTAAAAATGCCCACATAGCTGGTAAAACATTATTTCTGGGTGTGTCTGTGAGGGCATTGCTGAAAGAGATTAGCATTTGAATCAGTAGACCCAGTAAAGAAGATGCCCTCACCAGTCCAGGTTGGTATCATTCAATTCACTAAGGGACTGAAGAGAACAAAAAGGAGAAGGGTTAATTTTCTCTCTGCTTGACTGACACATCCATCTTCTTCTGTCCTCAAATATTAGCACTTCTGGTTCTCAGGCCTTTGGGTTTGGACTGGATATGTACCACAGGCTACCCTGGTCTTCTAGCTTACAGAGGGCAGATAATGGGACTTCTCTGTCTCCATAATCATGTAAGCCAATCCCTCATAATAAATGACCTATCTATCAGTTAATCATCATCTATCTATAACCTATTGGTTTTCTTTCTCTGGAGAACACTAACACAATGCATTTCACATGCTTATGTAAAACTTTCCACAAATAACTTCAACATTTTATTCAAATAGTTGGAAAAGTTGTGATTTAAGGAAATTAAATAAAAACATAAGATAGCAAAGATTTAAGTGACTGTTGTGTACTAGGAACTTTCACATATGATATACGATATCTAGAACCCACTAAAGATGCACATTTACATCTTTTAACGCATATTTTATGATACCATTGCATAGCTTAGATAACTGATATGCAGAAGGGAAATTTATTTGTCTAAAGTCACATATTCAGTACTTACATATACTTACATAGTACAGAATTCTCTGACAGAAATGTCAACATTTGTACTATTACTTACTTAATTACCACATACAGCTGACATTTGAGTGCTCACTTATGTCATTCTCTGTGTCAAAAGGTTTTTTTTTTCTTTTTCTTTTTTTCTGGGGGGTGGGGAACAGGATCTAGGTCTGTCACTCAGGCTGGAGTGTAGTGGTGTGATCTCTGCTCATTGCAACCTCCACCTCCCAAGCTTAAGCAATCCTCCCATCTTAGCCTCTTGAGTAGCTGGACCTACAAGTACATGTCACCACACCTGGCTAATTTTCATATTTTTTATTTATAGATAGGTTTCATCATGTTGCCCAGGCTGGTCTTGAACTCCTAGGTTCAGTGGTCCACCTGCACTGGCCTCCCAAAGTGCTGGGATTACAGGCATGAGCCACCATGCCTGGCTCAAGATCTTTATGTATACTATTTCATTCAATCCTCACAGGAATGTGTGAAGGCTTAATTTCCATTATGTATACTAAACAACAGCAACTTTGAAAGGTGAACTTTCAAGGGCTTAAGAGATGTGTGCAAAGTACCTTACTGGTAAGAAGCAGTGCTAAATTAAAATTCAGGTGCATGTAAAGCCACAGCCCAGCCTTGTCCTCACTGCACTAGAAGACTGCATTGGTCAGCAGGAAGTGAGGAATTTTCAGAATTGATTTGGTACTCTTGATTGATTGATTGGGTCAGTGGTTCTCAACCCCGACTGAACAGATCAGGAGATATGGGCTCTAGGCCAGATCAACTAAATTAGAATCTCTGGGGAGAAGGGCTAGGTATAGTTTGGAAGGTCAGCAGGTGAATATAATAATACACAGCCAGGCTGAGAATCATTGCTCGGGTTGTATCTAAGTCCTGCCTTGTTTTCATCCTACTTGCTATCAACCGGTGAGTTCTGTCTTCATGTCCAGGCCTTTTCCAGCTTCTCCTCCTCATGAAATCAAAGGCCTCCCTCAATTTTGGTGTTCAGTGAGCTGACATGGATACATTTACAGTTAAGTTGCAAGTGATAGGAAATCTGGCTCTTTCTAGTACCAAATCTAGCTGATATCAGACTTTACCTCCACAAGAATGATACATTCCTGAGTTTACTATAAACACTCTAGTCCAGTGAAAGATGCTTTCCTGTAGCTGAAATACAAGTCCTTCCTTGACTCTGATTGTACTGATTAGAATTCTCCATCCATCCCTACAGCATCCACAAGGGATTCTCTGTGTGTGGCTTGGTTTATTCTGAGCTACTGGTTCCATCTTTGCAACCTGCAAGTAGAATCAGAGGCAAGCTCAGCAGAGAGCTGAGGGTTGGAAGGAATGGTTCTTCTTAAACAAAATTAGCATATAATTGCCTTAAGAAAGAAAAAGAATCCCTTCAATCTGATGTTTGGTGTATATATTATATTTACCTCAGGACTTTAAAAATATACTCAGTCCCCTCCTGAAGAAACTCCACATATAGCCTTGAGTGACATCATCTTCTTTCTGTTCCCCTCCCCATTATTCTCTCCTTTCTAGAACTGACCCCCAACAATAAAATGCAGTCTGAATACTTCATTCACTGCTTAGATTTTAGCAGTTCTTTCTCATGAAAAACAAAAGAAAAGAAAAAATGTTGTACTGAATTATCTTTTGAAGATAATTTGCAACCAAATCACTCTGGCTCATCTAGTTGGCTTAGAACTTGATTTTCCATTAAGAATTTGGTTAATTTCTTTCATGTTTTGGGGGCTCAAATTTCCTGTCTTTAAAATAATGAAATGAAGCTATATGATTTTAAAGTCTCTTCCAGTTCTAAAGTTCTATAAATTCGATCCTAACTTAATTTCAATTTAGTTTATTTTTTTTCTAAAAAAATTAAAACATACACTCAATGAGATTTAAGTGTCAGAAGGTGATCATATATTTCTATTTTCCTTGGACTGTCCAGGTTTTCACTATTGTTCCCAAGAAATTAGTAATTGTGCCATGTTATTCTTGCAAACTTTCTGGTTTAGGTGATAAATTAAATCATCATTGTAGAGACCATGTTTTATGAGAAGACATGGCATCATGATTCCACTACTAATAATTAATATTTATCGAGCCCTGACCATGTGTCAGACCATATTGTCAGTGCTTTAAATATTTTAATTCCCTTAATCTTCGTAACAACACTGTAAGGCAGGCAACCTTGTTAGCCCCATTTTATAGATAAGAGCAAGCTTCAGAGATGT